TTGGAGTATTTCTATAGAACATTTTGCTGCACAAAATCAAATGTCTTTCAGAAGACAACATGGCAGCAGTAGCAAACAAGCAGGAAAGCCAAACATGGTACACAGTCACAACTTATCCTCAAATATTCCCACAAAATAACAGAGTTCATAAGGACTTGAAATAAAGTGTCGCTTAGGTAAAAAATATTTTTGCTAGTAAAACATTCCAAGAGACTTTTCTCCTTGTGCTGTCACACGGGAAACTCCTGTGTGTCTATAAACAGAATATTTATTTCCAGTGAACCCTTCCTAATATATTGCCATACAATGTCAGGAAACCAGCGTGAATCCTTCAAAACAAGAATCAAGACTTTCCATGTTGTATTGTTTTGTTAGGCAACTTCTAGTATAGCATCTCTGATGTGTTTTCAGCTGATATTACTACTAAGCAAGTAGGCAGAATAACGTAGGTTGGAAGAGACCTTTTAGATCATCAAGTCTATTTGTTAATACTCATGGCTAAATGGCATTTTTATGTACAATTCTAATCAAGTACAATGTCACACAGTATTGGAAAAAAATAGCTATTTAGGAATAACTATGCTAGTGGCTCTGAAAAAAACAACTCTAAAAAGCTAATCTGAAAGACACATGTGAGTAGAACATACAAAGCCAGTTGTAAGACTTCATTTTTTTCACTTTGTCATTGATGGTTCTATGATTTCTACATTGACATCAGTTTTCAGGGAAGGGAAGGTAAACTTCAAGAGACAGGACAGTAACAACTGGTCATTAGAAAGTAATCTGTTAGGCAAAAAAAAAAAAAGTCTATTATCTATAGTTGCATATTACATTATATTGCACCCCAGAAGAGAATCCAGAACCAGAGCATAAAAGGATATTCACACCATAAAAAGTTTCCATGCTACTGCCATTACAAGAAATAGAAAATAGGAGCCCTTACTTCCCAGTTTAGCAGAAATTCAAGCTCTCTGCTAATGCTTTTACTGACCATGCCTAAAGATGATGATGGCAAATGTTATTCTCTATTCTATTCAAGTCAGTAATCCAGTACAATATGCAGAGGTCAGAATGACAAACGGAAATGAAAATGGGCAATGCATTCAATGCATCTCTAGTATTGATGTAAATAACACTCAGAGAAGTACTTCTATATGTATTTGCTAAAACACCTTTTACATGCAGAAATATAGAAAGGAAAAATAAACAAAGGAAGGAGGAAGTTTGTGAAAACTACATATAAAAAAGCACATAACATTAAAAAGCATTGGCAGACATCAAGCTTTATTCTACTGCAGCACATTCAGTAGACTCCCAACAACTGTGTAAAGTCAGATTTTCCTCTTAAGAAGAGGATAATTCCATTATTTTCTTACCTTGAAAAATTAAATGATGACAAATTTTAAAGGAAACATGAATAGGAAAAGAACCATCATTACAATAATGATGTTATTCTGTACTGAAGTAGATCTGCTTATGACTTCTTCTTTGAATGTTGTGCTTTTATTCAAACCAAAAACGGAAGACAGACATCAAAGTGAAAAAAAATCTCTAAAAATAAAATTTAATTATTTGGTTATTTGTTACCTAAAGATTAAAATAGTTATGTGAATAGTATTTATAAAATCTCTTTTGCAAATGTTTCATATTTATCTGCTATTCCTAATATTGAAAAATACCACTGACCAAGAAAACAGTATTTTATGAATGAGATTCCAAAAATAAAGGAAGGAAAGAGTCTAGTCCATAGTAATAAGTGAAACATTTCCTAACAGGATGTGACTGAACTTACATGACAAGAATGCCAAGATTGTAATTTCTCTGCTAAAAAAATTCTCAGTTTAAGGACTGAAATCTTCCATTAGTTGCTACAACACATCACTGAAAGTGTACATATTCAGTTTAAAGAAAAATATTCTACATACACCTTGTGGAGACAACAATTCAAAGTGGTGCCTTGTAAAAAGTATGAGCACTGAATAATATTAAGAATAATCTTAACGAAAGGATTGGATGAACCTCTGCAGTTTTCAAAATTAGTAACCTTAATTCTTTCCACCAAGAATGATTGTTTTTGTGATTTTGTTTAGAACCTTTCCCAAAAGGTGAATTAAGCGCTGCTTCTTACTAAGAAAGTCAGTCAGTTCAGACCAAAGCAGATCACAACTGTGCTCATATTTTGTAATGAAGTATGGTGCAGAATTCCTAAGTTTGTGCCAGAAACAGAATTAGTACACAAATATTCTATAGCAACACAAAGCTATTTAATTGGCTCTGCTGAAATGTAGGACTAACTGGTACGGAGGATGCTGATGAAGCTGTGCTATTTTCTGACCTCAGATCTCTCCAAATAGCATTGCACTGGGCAGGCCATTTCATCTGGTACTAGTCTGGCAGTGTCTGTTAGAGTCATGAACTGAGTAGTATAAAAATGCTCTTAGCTTACCCTCTTCTCACAGCTGTGACACCCTTCATACTGGTGTGTTCCACTACAATTAATCACAACACACATGCTTGCCTGACAAAACTATGTGATCTTTTCACTCCTTCCTTCAGTATCTAACAAAGTGACGTTGTTTTTCCCATCTACCTTCATACCCCTTAAGTAGGAAGTCATGCACGATTCCTTTGTGGACACACCTGTCATTGCATCTGCAAATCTAGTGACAGATTAGGAGTATTGGATGAATAAATAACTGGCATTTCTTTCAGACAACTCCTTACACTAGTACTGTTCAGCTTTGGATCGAAGTCACGGGTTTTGTCACTGCACATATAAGATCAAATACCAGCTAAGAGTCCATGGCACGGGCAGAACGCAACAGCTATGGAACGCATTGTTAAGGGAAAGCAGACAATGGTATGTGTCACCATCTGTCTGGTGTGAGCATTAGATCCTATTTGTCTGCTCTGTTCCTGGTCAAGCTGTAGTCTCTGTTGTTCCAGCTGTTTTGTTGAGGATAACACAAGCATTCCTCTCATCCTACCTTCATTAGTTCCTGTTTAACCAAATTTTCAAAGGAATAACTTTTCCAAGCATGCACTCGTGGATCTGGAATTGACTCATATATCACTATATTTGATTCTACATTGCTGAAATGGGTGTTAGATCAGACGCTAATACAGAATAAAGCAGAATTTTTCCCTTCAGCGATATATATCTGAGTTGTTTCTAACATGAATTAAACTACTAATGAGCATTAAAAAAAAAAAAAAAAAAGACCAAGATGTACATGTGGAAATAAAGGAGGGTAAGAGAGAAGAAAGAAGGAGAAACCAAAGAAAAAGTATGCAAGTAGAGTACATTAACTTGAGGTTGCTGAATTTGAACTGCAGCAGGAGCTAAATGTTGACTGAAAACCAAGAGAAATGCACAGTTAAAACACTTGCTGATCAAGCAGCCAATAAGCCAGTAGCAGTATATGGAATAGGTGGCCCACAGAAAGCATCCTAGAGACATCTCCCATGTTGTCAGTTTTGCTCTTCTTGAGGAAAACAATCAAAGACTACAGGAATGAAGTGCCTAAAATTCATCAGATAATCCAATAGTTTCATAAAATTGCTCCGACACATAGCTGTAGCTTTTGTTGATTCAAAATTGGAACATAAGTGGAAACAGGTTTTATTCTATATTACACTTTTGAGCTGGACATATAAGCATCCAGAAGCTTTGCCATCGGGCTTTTAAAAGTTTTACAAAAGATCTTCAGAAAAGTACCACCTTATGTACTTCACCGGTGACATACTAAATTTCAAAAATTAATGAAAACTCATTGCAATGCTAAGAAGAAAAAAAATTTTTCTCTCTTCAAGGAAGCTCAAGATAGAACTTGAGTTTTCCCACCACTCGGCTCATCTCTGTAAAGAACATCTCTACCTTAGTTATTTGGGTTATGCTTGACACACTGACGGCTTCAAACTCACAAAATACAGAGCTGACATCCATGTATCCAAGAATATCTTTTGCTGGTGCTAACACCTTCCTAAATATCAGTATGTACAGATGTCAACAGTGGAATGTCTGACTTTCTGAGTCACAGAACGATTGTTTTAGAACACGTCCACTACCATTTCAGACAGCTAGGTGGGCTCACATGGAGTGACTTAGGCATACAATCACAACCTTAACCATTGCAGTAATGGCAAGCCTCAAACTAGTTCAGAGAAAAGCATTAAGCATGTTGTCAAAGAACCTCAAAATGCTATTGATATTTTGAATATCATCCTCTCAAAAGAATTTGAATTCAAGGAAGAATACTCTATTAAGTCCCCTTTTATTCTTCTGTGTTAGGCTACCAATTGGCCTGTTACAACACTGAGTGTCCAGTCTGATATGAAAACAATATCAGAATATATTCCAAGTTACACCAGTTTGTATCAAACCATCACCTCAAAAGGTCAGGATGAAAATTTCTATTGCCTGGCCAAAACTACAACATTAGAAGACAACATTGGTGTAAATCTAAAAAATATTTAGATGCTTTGAAGACTTTTACTGTTTTATGTTATCTTGGTAGAAATCTATCAAACCCAGAAGCTGGAAATATGAACAGATATGCAACATATAATGCTGTACTGTCTAATTCCTTCAAAGGTGTTCAGAACTGTTCCTGTCAGTCTCCTAAGACACCTTTTTTTCCTGTAAACTGCAATTTTTTGACAAATATTTTTGGCCTGTATATCCTATCCCAGTCTTGAATTTGAAAGATTCTACACCTCAATAATGAAAATAAAAATTGTAATTTTGCAATAGTATGTATAATCTCAACACACAAAAGTATTTTTTCTCTCTATTTATTTACAGATCCAATGTGACTGTGTTCAATCTAGTTTATGTAAGATCTTTTTCCCATTCTTGAGTTATTTTTGTAGACCATGCGCTATTATAAAGTTCTTTGCACTCAGGCGATGAGCAGATTTGAAGAAGATGAATGGAGCAATTTAAAGATGTATAATTGCTGCAGGAAAGGAGAGAAAGGAAAATGTACTAGAATACTCACTTTGATGAATCTATGAAGTATATTACAAGAGCACCAATACTAAGAGCGAAGACTAAGACAACCTAAAAAAGAAAAGAAAAGAGTAATTATTTAACAGAATTAAATATTTTTCTTTTACATATAAAAAAAAAAAGACAAGGAAAATAAATCATAAGGTAGTATTGTTTTATTTCAGCTGTCATTTTCTTTAGAAAAATACTCCTACTTGAACTTCAAACATTATATATTATCATAGTATGCTTTCTTGCATTGAAAAAGAGATACAAGACAAATCCTAGTTCAGGGAAATCCAGTACAGAATTAGGTCCTAGATCCTAACCTCTGCTAAACTATAGTCTTAAATTTTAAATGGTATGCAATATTAATGCATAGTATTCAAATCACAGTATAGCTTTATCAGACCTATCCTTCAGGACTACTCCTTGGTACATAAACAAAGACTGATTACAGATCAGACTGAATTTCCATTTACATATGTGGCTATGAAACCCACAGGAAAACTGTAAAGTTATGTAAAAATATGTATTTATTCTGCACTCTTGTCTATTGAGACTATAGTGAACTTTCAAACAAGTTAAAACAATAGCTTGATGCAGAATGTCACGATCCAAGGAATACATACCCTGGGTACCTTAGAGTTTCAAGCCTTTCCCCTCTTTAAGTCTGTTAAGTTTTTGAGCCAAATAATTTTGTTAGGTCTGGCATCTAGCCCTTATTAACAAAACAGAACTTGCTTTACTGGCTAATGCTGAAGAAACTGGATTAATTACATCTCTGTCTGTCTCTAATTTCTCTTTTCTGAACATAAAACCAATAACACTGTCTGTTCGAAAGGCTCCCAAACATGATAGCTTGTGTACCCATTGTGATTTAGATTTCTGATACCCTCACTCTAAGTTTCTACTTCTTGAAAAATGCCATCCACTTGAAAAATATTTCTAGTTTCTACCACTTGAAAAAGGCCAATTTGGAATCTAAAAATGTGAGACAAATAAGCTATTTTTTGACTCTTCTGGAAAAAATCAGCAAAGATTCCTGTCTGCTGCACTGAGGAAGGGAAAAATGGAAAATCTTGTCTCCTAAAACTCAGGTGATGTGCTGGTCTACAGAAACAAAATAAAATGTCCCTTAGTCTTCTGGTAGGAACATCTCAAAAAGCTGCGTAGAAATAATGTCCCTTAAAATAAACCCATAGACTTGATCATTCAGATATAACTAAGGGGACATGCAAATCATCAAACTGCCAGTTAAAATACAACTTCTTAGCTCAGAAGTGGCTAAAATTTAAGAAAATTTTAATTTTAACCAAACCAGTTTTTAAATACAGCTATTCATTCACTCTTAAATGATTTAAATTCAAATACTAATGGTGATGGTTTAGCCTACATTCTGTGGAATCATTTCTATACTAACAGTACCCTCAAAACCACTATTAAATATATGTATCTCTTAAAAAGCAAACCCAAAAACAGACTAAAAAAGAAAGAAACCCAAAGCAAACAATCTACAAATAACAGTAAAAAACCAAACCAAAACAAAACAAAAACAAGCCTCAAAACAACAAAATACAAAAGAGATTTACTCTATGGCAGGAGTTTTGGGCTGCAGAATGCTGAAATGACCACTTAATGCTGAAAATGAATTTTGAGAAACTAAACTTACAATCCATTTGGGACTCTATAAACACTTTTCTCACCCTTTCAAGTTTTACAAAGTATTTAAGGACTTCTATTTTCCTTTTCACTTAGCAAATCTTAAGTTATAACATTCAGTCATTGCCTCCTAGCCAAAGGAATTCTCTAGAACAAACCCAGCATAACTGTACACCAACCTTGCATTTCAGTTATATCCAATCCCTTATTAATCATCACTGTTCTGCTTAAATAATGGTATAGAGATTCTGAGTAAGACGTTCCAAAACACGTAAGGAATTTAAATGTTCTACAAAAGTTCATATAACTGCCACTAAAATGCAAATATCTGTATTTTGCAAACAGCTCCAGAATCCTGTTCTACACCAAAAGTGAGACATGCATGCAAAACTACAACATTTCCCTACTGTAATACACATACCTGATTTAAAATCAAGGTTTATTTTCTCTTCAAGTGCCTTAAAACACATGCCTAACATTATAATTCACAACGTCCCCAAGAATCACAGAAAGTGCATCAGAAGAGAATGGAATCTTAAGCTCCATTTTTTTATCCTGCGAGCAGAGAAACTCATTTTTCTTTTGCTAAGTGACAGAGGTATTCAGCTGAACTTGAATCCAAAAGTGTATGAAAACAGAGTCTGAACTAATCAGATTAGAGTTATATTAAATAAAGAAATAGATAGATAGATAAAGCAAACTAAAAACCAAAACACTCTTCTACACTGCATGATAGAGTCTCAGATGCAAATTTTTTTTGCTGCATTCCCACCTAAATAAACCTTAATGCAACTTGGTTATTTAGACCCTGGGCAATACCTATTGAGTTTGTTCTAATCTTCACTAGATTGCCATGGGAGATAACAGCTATTTTAGGGACCTTGCTGTGCTTGGAGTGCTATGGATAGAAAGAGACTAATACCCCAAATTTACTGCAACTAGAACTTAAGGGTGGAAATAGCATATATGTATGTGAATTACTGCCTTTTTTTGTTATCTAGGCCATAGCGAGAAGCTTCCTTGCTCTGTTTATTACTACACATCTATTATAACTTTTCTCTGTCTGGAAGGAAAGAATCTTTTAATTTACAATAACTTACTGTTTGTTTAAGATTGAGAAATGGGAAGTCATATGCTAACAGCTATACTGGCTGAGCACTTAGAATCAAATTAAAAATAAACACCAATCTGACTGAAGCCAAGAGAGGGGAAATACATGGAATAGTTGCTGCATAACCCTAAATAATTCATGAAATCTTTCATTAAAAAAAATAAAAATCCAGTCACAGATTTCAACAAAAGCGTAAAATGCCTTTTTGAGGCAAGAGTCAGAGAAACTGCAGATAAAATCCACTTAAGGAAAATTAAAATATTTTTTTCTGAGAGTAAGATGCTCCAGAAGAGCTTTGACTGCAATCAGAATTTATGCATCCATAACAAATACAAAAAATAATAAAAGGTATTTTGATAGGGTAGCAACATAATAATACTGCAGGGAAGTACAGGCCTTGAGAAAACACTCTGAGTTAAGCCATGGTAACTGTAAAGGGGATCACCTCACCTTCCAGGACCAGCCCATGTAACAAACGGATAATCCAACGGGTGGCACTGTTTCCCCTACAACTGCATTGAACTCATGTCCAGGCGTTATTGAAGAAACAAGGGGAAATGAAAAGGTTGTTCACATTAGAGAGGGAGGCTACAATTAATACATCCACAACAAGGAGCAATTTAGGGCCTATAGAGCAGGAACTTAAGTCTCTCATACCCTGTAACGCTTGAACGTTCCGTGGAAGATGAAACAAGAACTCTTTGAAGTTTCAAAGGCAAATTCTTGCTTATACAAGACTGAACTATCCAAACATAATTAATACAAAATAGCCTAGAACTCGAGAGGCAAAGCAGAAAAAGAAAAGGAATAGTTGTCTATTTTTATTTTTCTCCAACATTAAGTATTAAAATAAGAAGAATGCAGTGAAAAGAAAAAGCTTCCGAGAATCCTGTAACCCTAACACCTCAGGGCATCAGAGAGTCCTTATTTAATCTGACAACAATCTGTTCTGTACTGTCCTTCAAAAATGTTTGTTTTAAACTCTTATTATTCTACAGTTACTCAAACATAAGGTTACTATAATGCTTAGAGTATACCAAGCTGTTCTTTATTAATAGTTTTTGAAATTCACTTTTCATTTCTGCATTGACCCACTAAATTCTGTTAATAAGCTACTCAGCTTTACCATACTATGATTTAAAACAAAAATCCTATTAGCTTTTGTATTTCATAGTACTTAATGAAAACACAAACTATGCCCGATGATCATAAAGCTACCTACTCAATTTCGTGACACAAAAGTTTGCATTACTAAAATGTCAATAGCCTGAGGTTTCAACCTAACTTCAATGAAAATTTCCATAGCTTAAATATAAAACCAAACTTCCTTTAACCATCACATTAGAAACCAATTATATTTCTTTTATAGACAGAATTTACTTCGTTAGGAATGAACACCTTAGAAATCTAAGGACCAGATGCAAATTACATCTCAGAAGTAGGAACTACTTCTAGCTTGGAAATCCCAGCATTATTTGCACACTCTAGGATATGCATCCACATCTGGGCAATTACAGCAAATTAAAAGTAAGACTTGAGCAAGTCTAGACGACAGAAGAAGCAGAATGGTTTACTTAAATTGATGTCTCATTAACTGACACCCTATATGCAAACAGCAAAATTCAGAAAGCATTCCATGTAGGCAAAGCCATAAGTGGCAAGAACTTATGTGCTGCAGCTAATATAAACAGCTGAGCAATTCATATATCTCAGATTACTAAAAATACAAATGAAATGCTATTTACTATAACACATTATAGATTCTTGCTCTAAAAATTAGTGTTCTACACTTCTTTTTATTCCAGCACTTACTGAGATGTTTTTATTTATATTACCTTTGGACATAAATCAGTGAACTGAAGTAGCTGCTTCATGCTAAACTGTACAACTCATATTAGTTCATCCAACAAAACAGTCTTCAGAACTTTCTGATTTGTCAAGACAAACAAAAGGCTCTGCATATTTTTAATAGAAATTAATAGTAACTTTCTGTTTAGAGACTTTTTTCCCCACTATGCCCTGCTGCATAGCCAGGAGTAAAGCAGGAGTGAGGATCTCTCAAATCCATAAGCTGGACTAGGACCATTCTCTAGATGAAGCTGTACACTGACTTGTCTCTGGGCTTAAACACATTGCTCTGTCTCCAGTCTTTCTGCCTCTTCTTCTTTACCTGGTCCCTCCTGGGCCAACAGATGAACAACTAAAATGCCAAAGGCAAAAGTACAAAATATCCACCCCTATGAAGCCATTAACTCCCAAGGGGCTCTTAGAATGCCATTCTACCTCTCTCAGGTTTGCA